TATATTCATACGTACATAGGAAAATTATATAATGTTACTCTTAAATCACTACTTATTCTCAAGATGTAATATTGCTTATTTTTTTCCCATTTAAAAACTTAGCATCCCCAACTCAAAAGCTGATTTCTCACCTTTCAGTATTTTCTATGCCATCCATTCTCTTTTTTCACAAACAAGCTCTTTAGAGGAGGGTATTATACTCACTGACTCTAAGGATTCCATTTCTCATTCCATCACCAACTTTGTAGCACCTCCAACATCCCCGATGACAAAAAACACACTTAGGGAGCTGCTGGAGGCATGAATCAGTGATAGAGCCTACTATGTGTGAGGCCCTGAAGTCCATCCCTAGCACTAAAAACAAACAAACAAAAATAACACACACACACACACACACACACACAAACACACACACATATGAATTGATCATTTTCAACCCCCTGTTATACCTGTCATCTTGGAAATATTTGAAAATGCTAATTCCTGAGACTTATTCCTTTCTTGTCTTCTACAGCAATACTTCTCCAAACTACTTTGTTAATGTCTACAAATCCCTCCTAGGTCTCCACGAGTGCTTCTCCAGCCAAGCACCATATGTTGGTGATCCTCAGGGTTCTCTGTTAGACATTTTATATTCTCAACGCACACAGTGTTCCTGGATGACTAAACTGCATGACATTTTTAACTACCACTTACCTATTCACTGATTAGTCGCCACTCTTGACCTCATGCCAGAGCGCTTTTATGAGTTCTTCTCCTAAGCCACTCAAATTCAAACAGTCCTGAATAGATATCATTATTGTCACCTTTCCCAAACTATTCTCCCAACTTGTTTCTTCCCCTCTTCCACATCTCAGTGATTATCCCACCATTTTCTTTTTTGTCCAAGCAGATATCTGAGAATCTCACTAAACAATTCCTTTTCTTAAAATTCTCATTTCTAGACAGTCATTTAGTCACTCATCTATTCATCCATATAGGAAATACTTTCAGAGTGTATGCCAGGTGCCAGATACTCTGCTAACATTTTGCTGGGTTGAATCAGGCATTCTCGTTGCTCTCAAATTGCTTATAATTTAGTGTTGCAGAGGCTACATAGGATATTCAATGAAAGCTTAAAGGAAGGGGTATCCTAATCAGACTGAGGTGAGAAAGGCAGAGAAAACTTGCCAGAGGCAATCCTTAAATTGAATGACAAAGGACAAACGGTAATTATCTAAAGAAAGGAGAGGGCTATAACACAAGAAGGAAGAGCACACTTCAAGTCTTGGCAGTGTGGTCTATAGCCTCATTCACTCCTGATCCTTTCACTTTCTCTCCAGATAGACTGCCAGAAACTTAGACCCAGCAGGTCAGCCATATTTCTCCCCAATATCTTTGAAGAGTCTTCCTGTTACTTCCTCTGACTTTACCTCCCTCCTAACTGAGTCCACACTACTGCTGGAGGGCTCTTTGTAAAGCACCACCCACCGTGAGCATATTCCTTGACTACCTAAAATCAATCAGTAGCACTCAATTTTTTTTTTTTATTTACATCAAAATACACGATTGTTTAGCTTCTCAGGAGACTTACAGGTCCAGTGAGACACCAGAGTCATCAGATGCTTCAGTGACCGCTTAGTTTTCATCAGTTTTTACCCTTTCCACATCTCGGCTCTTCCTAACAATTGCTCCTTTCCTCTTGTCCCACGCCTTCCCACTTGCACCTTCATCAAGACTCAGTTAGGTGCCAAGTCTTTAGATACTCAGGAAGAAACGTGAGCACTATTTTTCTATGTTCCATAGCAACTTATGCATTTATTTATTATAGCATGCATCATATCATAACTATTTACTCCTCTATTTACCCAAACAAGCTTGGAATGTCTTTAGGAAAAAAAAAATATGTCATATTTATCTCCATATCCTCAGGGCTCAGAATAGTTCCTGGCATATTCATAAGAACTCGAAGTATTTATGGAGTAAGCACGAATGAATGAATTAATATTAGATACTTCCCTTGATTGACGAGGATGATTTCTGTTGTGAAGCAAACATTTCTTTCCCATAACCCTAAAGAGTTGGCATGAATTTACCAAGATCTCACTCTATGGTAGCTATTGTGCTAGGCACTGATAATTTCAAGGTGAAGAATGCATTTGTTTCCAAGTGGCTTATAATCTGTGGGGAAGACAGACATGCAAACAGGCAACTCTAAAAAAGAATTGAGATGAACTCTGGATAGGGCAGAGGGGTGGGAGGGGAAGGGAAGGGGCATGGGGTGAGAAATGATGGTGGAATGTGATGGACATTATTATCCAAAGCACATGTATAAAGACACGAATTGGTGTGAATATACTTTGTATACAACCAGAGATATGAAAAATCGTGCTCTATTTGTGTAATGACAATTGTCATGCATTCTGCTGTCACAGATAAATTTAAAAATTCATTAAAAAAAGAAATTTGATAAGGGAAAGAAAGAGAACTCTTGTGGGATGGATTAAGTAAAGAAAGTTTCCAGAGCAAATGCGGATTAAGCCAAGACCTGAAGAGTAGATAGAAGTCTAGGAAGGCTCTTTCATACATTGAGAATCACAAGTGAAAGTCCTAGGTGAGAGGGAAGGAGCACCCCACCTAGGAAACTGAAAGATCAGCCTGGATGAGCCATAGTAATCCAGGGGAGCTAATGGGAGGCAGGTTGTAAAGTCTCTAGTAACTCTTGGGGATGACAACAGGGGCAGAAAGATAAGGCTGGAGGATATCCAGGATCATGGCAGAAGTGTAGGGGGAGAGTTAGGAAAACTGGTGTTCCAATCCTCCAGGCAAGAGCCAACGGGGCTGTCACAGGAACTCCCTCGGATCCACCTTCCTATCAGACGTGGCTCCATGACCATGGAGGGAGAAAAGTCGCTGTGCTTGAAGAGCCTTGGCAACAACAAGCCATGGAATAAGAACTTGTGGCAAACTGGCAAGAAGGAGCCCTACACCAGAGGCCCATTTGAATATGCGAGATGATTCTTTTCAAGATAAGGCACAAGAGACTTAGATTCAGCACTGGGGCCAGTGCGATAATTCGGCCTGAGCTAGCCACACCAGAGACAGAGGAGTAAGCTACAAACGTGGCATGAAACAACCATGAAGGTGTGCTCCACAGGCCGGAAAAAAATCCCTGCTCTCAATGGTCTGCTGAATAGCGGCGGAAATGACGGGCAGTAAAATATGAGTCTTTTCAATTGGACAAAAGTTAAATTCATTGGGGAGGCAATATGATTCCTAAAAGGAGTCTCTATCATGAACTTCCTGGTTAGGAAATGGATGAGGAATGAGGCTTCTCTGGTTTTCCGTCACAGCCTGGCTTGGGCATCAAGGTTGAGTCTGGATTCTTCCAAGATGCTACTGTCATTTTTGCTTCCTTAGAATATGGCTCCAAGTCTTTCTTCCCTTAAAGCAAAGGTCACTTGGAAGGGAAGGTAGGACGTTGGTGTGGCAGCGTGGCAATTTTCTATTTTACCCCTTCTTTCAAAATAATTATCTTGGGAAGAGCTCCCCCAGGTCTCTCCATTAAGCCCCATATTTCAATGCCTCACAGCATAGCTTCCTCTTGGCTGGATAGCTTCAGAAAAAAAGATTTCAAGTGTCAACCAAGCTCCCTAATGCTTGAATATAACTCATTTTTTTTTTGCCATAAATGTTGGGCCCTATTTTTATAAAAATGAGAGATTATCTTGTCCTGTATTACCATGTGTGAAAATGTACATTTTGGAAGCATAGGTTTTCCATAACCTCTCAGGCACCCAATTAGAAATATGGTGTGAGGTCTTATTCAGTGACGTCTTCTCCAGATGAATTGCAACATATGCCTGACATTACACATTCCATGAGGAAGGCCAAGAGCAGGTTCTGTGGAGGATCTCAAACCTCTCATTATCCCTCCATATCATCCACTTTTCTTCATCCTAATGGCCATTGCCACACCTCAGCCCACTACCCCCTCTCACCTGGAGGCTGTATCTGCCTCCCAAATGACATTGCCTACAGTCCTGCCCCATCCAGTCCATCCTCCACACTGCAGCCAGGGCAATGCTTCTAGAATGCGAAATAAATGAATCATGTCTCTCCTCTCCTTAACACTCATCAAAAAGCTTCCCGGTGTCATTAAGATGAAATTCAAGCCCTTCAGAATGCCCTTGGTAGCCTGGCTTCCTGCCTTCCTTTCTTTCCTAATCTCTTTTCCTCTTGTTCTTCCCATTTTATGTTTCAATTGAGAAATGTGCACCTTTCAAGTTCTTTAACAGAATTTCCTCCTACTCGCTGAATACTTAGTGACCCTTTGTTTGTCAGTTCGGATGCCTTTTGGGAACCTTTTCTGCCTCTTGATAAACAACATCCAGGGCCCCTTTGAAGTTCATGTTGCATCTTGCATCTTCTTCTATTACCTATCACACTTTATCACAAGGGATGATTTCGCCATCTGATTCCCTTCCTGGACTGTAAAGTTCCAAAGCAGATAGCTACTCAAACATGTTCACTTTTTTATTCCTAGGACCTACAATAATAAATTATATACAAACTTCTTGAATGAATGAATGAGTGGAAGGATAGATGTTTGGATGGATACTTGGATAGATGGATGAAAGAGGATGGGTGAAGTAGAGAGCCTAGGTAAAGGATGTTGAGAGTTATGGAGGCTTATATGTCCCCTCCTTAATATGAAAATGACAAAAATATCATATTGTTGTAAAGGTTAAATACTCCTTATATCAGTACATACTATTATATAATGTTAACACTTATTATATTGTATTAATCCTTATTCTATGTAAAACACTTAGAACTATGTCTAGCCTATTGTAGGCATTCCTTCTCAAAATGTCAGCTATTATTAATCGTTAATAGCATGCTTTCAAAATTACTATAAATAAATGAGTAGGTGAAAAATTAAAAAGCAAAAAAAAAAAAAAAAAATAGAATCCAATAGTAAAACCTCAGTAAGGTCTCACTGGTATCTTGTTCCTGACTTTAATCACAAAAAATCGTTTTGAGACTTCCTGACAATGCCCAGCAATTCATCCACATTCAGCAGTGATAGTAGAATACAATGGAGTACTTTCTGCCCTAGGGTCCAAGTTCAGTTCTTATTACCAGAGTTATTTCTGCCAAACTCCTAACCTCCTAGACTCTGGACCTGCCTGTGTTCTGAGATCTATTACACCTTCATGCTCCCCCGTCATAGCCGACCTTCCAGTCTTTGGGTCCTGGCCCGCCTACACTGGTGGTACCTGATTAATTGGGCTTCTGCTTTTGACCCTTCCTTGTTTGGCTTGTATCCAGGATGGGTCAATGGCTTTAAGGACATGCCCCTGGGTAGTGCACTGTGCCAAGACACACAGGAGAGGAGAGCCACAGCAGTTGGTCTACATTAGCATAATTATCTCCCAAATCTACTTTCAACCAATTCATACTTTGTCTCTAACAAACCTATTTTTGACTTGCTCTTTATTTTTATTACTTCCTTACAACTCCATGCTGTCCTTTTTAAAGGCTTTGATTAGCATTTTCCTAAAGTGACATTTCCTTGGAAAATGTTCCAGTGGGTCTCAGGATCCCTTACACTGAAGAAAATGTACTTCAGTAATTCCCTAACTAGGAATAAGCCGGAAGTACTTAATGACCGACATCTTAGTCAACTTTTTGTCACTACAGTGACAACCTTCTCATGAAGAACAGGCTTATCTAGAATGTGGTTTGTGAGGTTCCACCTCATGGTGCTGCCATTGCCTTGGTTCTGGTGAGGCCTTCCCTGTCCACTGTGTCACCTCATGGTAGAGGCACATGCGTGTAGAGAGCTTGCGTGATCGGACAGGAAGGAAGTCAGAGAACTGTCACAATTCCTTCCTTCCAAGGGCACCCCCTAATGACCTAAGGCCTGTCTTCCCAGCAATGCCATCCTGAGGGTCAAGTCTTCAATCACAGTAGACCTTTGGGGGCACTTGAACTAGGTCCAGACGGTAGCAGCTAGTAGAGCAGAGGCAAAGAAGAGTTAAAATAAAGCTGGGGAAGGATCATCAATAGCCATGTACTATGTCAAGCACTAACACTTAAGAGTGGCATCTCAGGGTACTAACTGCACATGTGGGTAGGCAGCAGTGAGAATAGAACACAATGCAGTATTACATATGCATGAAGGTGAGATGATGTACAGAACATAATTGTGTTACATTCATTCCATATTTCTTTCCCCTTCCTTCCTTCCTCCCTTCCTCCTATTCTCCTATTTCTGCTCCACTGATCTTCCCACATCTTTATGATATCCAAGACCCCTCCTAATGTTTTTTTTTTCATTTCTTCACAAGGCATTGTCCATTAGTAACTAATCCTGAAATTTAGACACTAGGAGACTCTTGTCTACCCCTACGTGGCCTTTCAGTTACCCAAATGAAAATTACTAACAAAATCCCTGTGACTGTTAGCTTCGTGAGCCTACAGGAGTGAGAAATAAATTAGGGAAGTCATACATTTCCTCAGAAAAGGATATCTTCTCCTAGGTCTACTTCAGAGGTGGCAGTGAACATCATCAGCCTAATGACCTCCTGAGTCCTCCCAGATCTTAGCAGACCTCCTAGAAAAGACAGGAATGGGCAAATGGTCTCATGTAAGAATTTATTCCACTGTCAGTACAAAGTCTTTGCTATTATAGGCATCAGGAAACAATGATTTGTATGTAATTCCCATTCTTTTTCCAAGTTAGAAAGCCATTGTTCTCCTGTCCCTTTATTGCGTGACAGGAACAGACAACTGGCATTTTGTCACCAGACCAGAAAATCTACATCTGGATCTGATGTACTTCACACAATGATGCTGCATTTCAAGCTGTACTTTCAAACAAATTACATGTGGAATTACTGTGAAAGACAAATGACTTGAATTCATTTGGACTATATATATGGTGGAAAGTCTGTGCAGGAATGCCTGCCAATCAAAGGTGTGATCGTGATGAAAGCTATTGGTTGATCAGTCAATACTTACCCCCAAGGCCTTCCTCTCTGGCCTCCTTCACCACAGAGGCCAGGAAAGCTACATGTGTGCTTTTTCAGTTTCCCCTGCAACCAGGGTGAGCCTCAGGACATCTTCCAAACAGAGAATACAAAGTTCACAGGTCATGTGTGAAAGTTTTCTCTTTACTGATGAAAGGAGCAGAAGTCACAGATGCTTCACCGTGCCCTGTGTTTTGTGACATAAAGGTAGGCATGAGATGTAGTCCTGGGGTCCATGGCTACCATTTGGTAACCATGAGAAACATTCCAAGGGTATCAAAGAGGTGCAGTCCGTGATGTTATTGTGCAATTGAACAAATATCAGCAACCACCCATTTCCTGAATCTTGTGGTGTGAATAGTTAGTCACATAATTTTAAACCATTGTTAACTGGGTTTGCTGTTGTTTGCAATTGAAAGCATACTTAACTGACAGAGCTCTTTGCAAAGTCATTGAAGTCTCTAGCATCGTTTCCCTAATAAAAATAATAGTGAATTTATATTGCATATCTCTTTGCTTTCTTAGATCAAAATCTGTTTCTTCACAGTCCATGTGGGATATTTGCTCTCTGCTATGAAATCTGTCAGAGGTGATAGATAGGGTACAATTTTGTAATAGCCCCAACTGGGCAAACAATACAAGAGCCAGATGGCTATTATGATACATCAATCTTTCTAGAAACAAATTTTACAACATCAAATTTAGAAACCAAAAATATATATATATATTTTCCATATATATATACATATACATATATATGGAAAAAATAAAGCATACTATGAAGGAATAATTAGACAAGAATCAACAATGAAAATTTCACAGAACCCATGCTATCACTTCCACATACCATGCCCAAGTAGACATTGCTGACGATTAAAGCACATTTTCCCACACATACCACTTGCTACTGAGAAGCTCCTAACACAGAGTTCTAGGCAGCCACGACCATTCAGCTGGAGCTGGCACACAACGTGAAGCCCAGCTGTATTTCTTAGCGATTGCAGACACTCATTCTGGAGGTATTTGGTTCATGATCCAAGCACAAGTCCTTGCTCACTGGGAATTGATGGTATTTTTTCTGTTAAAGGGAGGATGCTAAGTGAGTTTTTTAATCATGTTTTTTGCCCTCCTGTTTCACTTCAGTCTTAATTGACTTTGTTGTCTTTATGATTATTCAACATGATATGCAGACTCTCATTGAATTTATTCAAGGCTTTGTTATTATGATATTTGTTTTCATCACCATTCATCATATGGATAATTGATTTCTTTTAGTTCTGCCCTTTTGCCTTTATATCTGAAACTTGTCTAAAACTGCATGTACTATTATATACACAAAGATGACTTCACTATCTCTTTCAAAAGATTGTTTATCTACCCTTTTAGACAAACCCATCGCTGTCATTGGAAAGAACCTGCTTGTAGGTACAGCTTTTAGAAGACTACTCCTCCTTATCTAGGAAAATAGATCCTTGCTCAAGTGACCTTCTGTTTCCCAATTCAAGTCTATCTGGATACTTAACTTAAAGGACAACTAAAAAGGAGTAAGCCATTAGGAGTTAATACTTGCCAAGAACATTGAAGGTACTTATTTGGTCTGACCCATATTGAAAGAGTGCTGAAAGATGCTGTGGAAGATACAAAAATAAAGAGAGATGCTATCAAGAAAACTCAGGCAAATTGCTGTTTAGTGACTTGAAAGGGAAGAACTATCTACGAGAGGAGCAAATTAGAAGGTATAAAGAAAATAAAATATAGTTTGTGGGGAACAAAATAAAGCATAAAATGTGGTTTAATAACATTTTAGAAATAAGTGTATGCACATAAAGATAACCTAAAAATAGGTTTCTACTATAAGTAAAGCCAGAAGTAAAGGGAGAGTAAGAAAAAAAAAATATACAGAAAGACTGACTTAAAATCAGCTGATGTTCGTGAGAAAGATTGGTCCTGGGAATCCAGCTCCTTGTATTAGGATGATGTGATGTTGAAGAGGACTCATAAGGTCTCTCCTTGTGGGGTTACTACATGCCCTCCCCAAAGGAAATACCAGAAAACTGCAGAAACCAAGAGGAGAAGCAAAGACAAGAAGGTATCCTAACCATGTATTCAGTCACCCAGTTACTCAGACATTTAGTGAGTTTCCACCACACTAGGCACTATTCTGTATGATGGTAACTCCAGTTAACAAAAGCCTAGAAGCCCTTGCCTTCATAAAGCTCCATCTCTACAGAGGGAAAGTGATGATACAACAATAAGGAGACATGAGATGATATCATCGCATATTGTATAATTATGCAAAATGAAACCTGAGTACTTGATGGCTCCTCAGATGCCACAGACCTGTTGTTAACAAAATCAGTGTGAGTAGATAAATTATGTATTTGCATATATGAATCACCTTGCCTGTTCTATGAGTCAGCATCTCTCCCTGTAAGCAACCAAGGCTTGGTAAATGGAAGAAGCTCAATTTCCTAATCAGGAGACGTGCATTTTACTAGGCAGACTGTAGCAGATCGCTCTCTCTGACCTTGGATTTGGCCAAGAAAGGTTAAACTGAAAAGAGAGGGGAGTATAATTGTCACAAACAACAACCTCAGAAAATAAAGAAAACCTCAAGGAAATAATACATACAAGGATGGAGGAAGTCCACAGCTACATATTCTGGCAGGATTGCCATTCCACACAGTCCGTCCCTCCATTCCTCCCTCCCTCCCCCTCCATCCATTAGCTGATCCACCTGTGTATTCTGAGGGAACTGAGAAACCTATCCAAAGGCATAGGCAAATTTATTCTCCACCGAAAAGAGTTGCCCTGATTTAAATCGGCTTGTGAACTCAGAGTTGGGTCCCACGGTGTTTACTCTGTAGGCTTTGCAAATAGAGATGATTCCTGGGAAAACAAAACAAAACTGTGACATAAGTCATATTTATCTTCAGTCCAGACTCTTTTTTTCTCTTTCTGTACTTTGCCATATCTGTACATTTCCTGTTCAACACTTAAGCCTGGGTATCCAGTTTCCCAGAGAAGCTTGTGGTCCCTATCCTTGATAGAGAAAGTCACAGTAAAATCCTAAAAAGAGAAAATGTGCTGCCTGTCAGAGTTATGACATGCTCTTTCCATGAATGATACAGAGATAGGGAGAGATTCCGTAAAGCTTTCAAAAAAAAAAAAAAAAAAACCTGGGAAATTTACATTAAATACCATCAGCCTTACATGGACATATGTCTTTGAAGTCCACTCTTTGACATTTCGTCAAGACAAAAGTTGAATAATAACCTTCCCTAAAAACATTCAAGATCTGCTTTCATTAAAAAAAAAAAAGTGAGCAAAATCCCTGGACACTTTTAACCTCACCTTCTGTTTAGACCACCTCGAATCCCCTTTGACAGACTTCCTGGTCCACCTTCCAGCAGGAGAGATTCCATAAACTAGAGATTTATAACATATGACAAGTCAACCCAGATTCTTATGAAACGAGATATGAGTCAGCAACATTAGAGCTGCTTGAAATTCAGGGCATTTCAGAGTGAAGGGGAGAAATCTCCAAGAATTTCACAGAGAATGTTTTACTCTTCTGAAAAATTGCTGAGAATTCTTCAGAAGCAAAGTGGTGCCTGGCTTTCTATTTTCTGCAGCCAGGTGGTAAATGAACCAAGGCTTTGCAAACAGAGATCAGACAGTCCACAGTAAGGAGGACCACATCATCTTGGGGTATCTAGTTGCTTCCACATAACCTTTACTGAAAAGTGGCCAGCCCTCAGTGGCTCCACCCCCTTCAAGAACACACTGTGTGTGCCAGGACACAAGGCCTTCAACAAACTTTCTGCCTAACCATCCACATTGCGTGGCTTTCCCTCTGTTTCCTCATCTTTTACACCACTGCAAATAGCAGTTAAGCAGAAAGTCTTTTGTATGTGCAGTAGATCATGCTCAAGTTTCAATTATCATTGAGTTGTTCCTTGATAAATTCATAACATATAACAAGAGTCTCCATGTATCAATTAGCTGCACATTATTGAATATGAGTTTAGAACTTAAAAATAGTTTGCTAATTTTTAGAAAAATCCATGAAAAAACAAATAGTGGAGCTCAGGAAACTACATTTTGAGAGAATCAGTCATTTGTCCAGAATGACACAGGTCACGTGTGGTGGAGTCGGCATTCGAGCACATGTCTGCTTGATGTCCAAACACAACTGCCTCTGCTTCTTCCCCTAATTAGTTCATCCCTGACTCTTCTGACTCAGTACATTGCAACTGTGCCTAGAAAGGTTTCCTCTGGTGCTCAACTACCCCTGTGGTGGAAAACAGGTGCTTCTTGTGCAATTTGAAAAACAACTATGAACTCTATGACTCATGGCCTTTAATTTCCTACTAACTTACTGATCTGTCTCCCCCACTTAGACTGAGAGCAACAACCAGAGACTCTTTCTTCTCAGCAGCCACATTACCCAGCATACAGTAGGCACTCATAAAACGTTTCTTGTACATGCCCACAATTAATGAATGATTTTAAAGATGATAAAGGGGAATCCAGGGACCAGGTGAAGCCCAGGAAGTAGTCCGCCAAGCCTTTCCCAGTCAGCACCATCTGAAGCCATCTTTCTTGCTACAATAATTTGCTGCCCAAACCAAATAAAATAACTAGACATTGCTAAATGCTCAGCCCCACCCTCACTATCCTAACCAGCCCACATGATCCAAAATATCTAAAAGACCAAATCACCTCCCTGCAAGGAGGTTCAAAGTACCATGAGTGGCCCTTCTGCAGGTTGGAGAGGGGCAGGATGGAGGCCATCAGGAGTCTCGATTGAATCGTAATCAGGAGCAAAGTGGCTGGACCCATCAGAATATGGTTAGGGAAGCTACAAGCAAATTTTACTGATGACTATGGATCCCATAAGAAGAGTAGAACAAAGAAAAGACCAAGACCGGAGGCCAGCAGCCATGGACAAAGGAGACCACAGTCGGGCAGGAGCCTAGTGGAAGGGCTTCTTTCCTTTCTTCTTCAAGAAGAGCAAGCTCTCTGCAGGGCTGAGGTGTGGGCAGGCTGCACCAGGGACAATGCAGAAGAGGAAATGCTTGTATTCCTGTGTTCTGCTAGGCTGGAAACTTCCAGAACAAACCAGAGAGCAGATCACAGAATCAGGGCATATGGAAATATTTCTCTCTCTCTCTCTTTCAACAAGGAATCACTATTGCATATAAATAAATCATCACATTCATTTTAATAGGTATTTGTTATGGTTTGGATATGGTCTGACCCCCAATGTTTTGTGTACTGGAAGCTTGCTCCTCAAAGTATGGTTTTGAGGTGGCAGGATGTTGGAGAGATGATCAGATCATGGGGACCTGCTCTCATAGAGTGATGGATGCTGGTTTCTCAGAGTGGATTAGGTTCCCTCCAGAGCAGGCTCTTGTAAGAGTGAGCCTGGTCCCTCACCAGAAATCGATGCCATTGTAATGCTCTTAGATTGCCATCGTGTGAGCTAAATAAACTCCATTTCCTTATAAAGTTCCAAGTCCAAAGTATTTTGTTATAGCAACACAAAATGGACCAGACACAACTATATATTTTATTCAATTAAATGCCTAATGCTATAATTAGAATGTTAAATGTCTCCCAAAAGGTCTGTGTGTTCAAGACTTGATACCTTGAGGGGCACTATGGGGAAATGGTGAAAATTTTAGGATGTGGGTTCTACCAGTAGGTTTTAGAACTAGGGCACATGTCCTCAAAGGGGATTGTAGGATCCTAGTCTCTTCCTTTCTTCTTTTTCTGGCCCCTGGATCAGGAGGTAAGCTGTTTCTTTCCATGACTTCTGCCATAATGTGCTGCCCTTGCCAGAGGTCCAAAGTGTTGGCATGGCTCAATCTTGAATTGGAACCTCCAAAACTGTGAGCCAAAATAAACCTTTTCTCTTTATATGTTAATTACCTCAATTATTTCATTATAGCAACAGGAAGATGACTAATACACCTTATTTTCCCATTCTGTGGAAGGGGACTCTGTGGAAGTTGGAAGGAGCACTATTTGCCTGTTGAATTCAGAAGAACCATATGTCACTTATTAATAATGCTTACTCCACAGCAGTGATGATTGACACCAAAGTTGTACATCCATTTGTACTTTTAAAACTATATCTATAATATTTTACTTCTAGCAATTTCTAAACTACAAATCATGATTCTTGATAATACATATAATATCTAAGTGATACTATCAATACTTGTAACATTTTTAGCTCTTTGGAACTATGAACATCCAATGAGGCAGTGCCTCAACAGAGAAATAATCACTTTATCAATGTTTGCTATTATTATTTGCCTTGATACTATTATCCCTATTCTGCAGTTGAGGTAACTGAGGCTTAGAGAAGTTATATTTTTGCCCGAAATAACACAACTAGTAATCTGTGGAGCTGGATTTGATTTCATTTGGATCATAGAATGATCTATAGAGACTTCTTGATGGGATAGAAATGGATATAGAATCAAAAGAGCAAGAGCATTCATGGAGCAACTTCTTTCTTTAACTTAAATCAGAGGACAATGCCAAAAGATACTTTCCAATTGGTTAAGAAAAGATGGCCAGACACTGTTTCGCATGGTGAGAAAGCATTCATTTCCTGGGCTAATTTCAACAAAGGCACCGGTACCCATCATCTCAGAACAAACTCATTCACTCCATGTTTACTGGGGAACTTGTGGAAAATCCTTGGAACTCAATTGCATTCTGACATCCTATTCATCTTCCAGCTTATTTCCCATCACAGGTCCTGATCTTATTAGAAGGACCTGGGAGAATAGCAGCAATGGCACCTTTTCTTTTTTTGTGTGACAAGTCATTCTGGAATGCATTTAATATCTTAAAATTGTCATTGATTGAAACTGGTAATTCTAAATAAGCAGTTCAAAACTAATATCCCTCTTATTTCCCCACTTAATCTTTTTTTCCTCCTGAGCCACATACTTGATCTTTTCAAAGGTATCTTCCTAAGTGGTCAACAAGCTATGGAATCATCCGATGGGAGGAACATGGAGGGAAAATCTCCAGTAGCACAGACCTCCCATGCGCTTGTCCTGTTCCTCACTGAATTTACTGCCTAGAAAGGAGCTTAGCAGATAGAAGGGGCTCAAAAATATGTAACAGACCCCCAAATAGAACTTATTCTTGAGAAAATTAGAGACTTGGGTCTCCACACCTGATTTTCCAGCGGGGCTTTTGTGACATGGAGATGGAAAGGAGGACGGTCACTCTGGGAGATTTGAGTGGCACCAGGTCTGTCTACTTTAAACATTCCTCCCAGAAATTTTTTTGTCAACTAAAATTCCCATCCTGGCCTCTGGATTTAGCATTTACAGAAGGATTCTGCCTTTGGAAGAGTTCTCAGTCAAGATAATTTAATTAGCTAATTAATGACCTTGAGCACCACAGGACAGAAATGTGGTGAGCTCTAGATTTAGGGGATAACCAAAGGGTGCTGGACCAAAAGGGCATCATAATTGGTTGCAGTCTGAACAGAGGAGACCGAAAAGCAAATGCTACAGGGAAGGCTTTCTCTTAATTCACAATCCAACTAACCCTGGTCCCAGTGCCTAATGAATGGTGTGTATTTGTTCCAAGAAGCCACATTTGCATGGTCCTTAAGAGAGAGATTGCATTATTAAAACCATGAGGTTGAACGCCT